CCCCCCCAACACACACACACACAAATGCAGTCACATCACACAAGTTGAAGCCCGTACTATCATTTACCTTGATTGCAAAAGAGAGAGGCTGAGGTCCATCCCCACCAAGGTTAAAATCATACTCCCGTGGAGTAGTCTCTGGGATCCTGGTCCGGATCTCAGCATCTGTGCATATCCGGTTCGAGTCCATCAACCTGGCGCAGACATTCATCCAAGGAGGTGAGGGGTACTGCCATAAAGATGTGAGAGGAAAATATGCAAGGAAAGTGGTAAAAGGAGAGAGATGGGTAAAAAAATGAAAACGACGGAGCGGGTCTGGTGAAGGAGCAAGGCAAATGATCGACCGCAAGGGCAGAGAGAAAGAACATCAAGGAGGGGATGAAACCAGGAGAATGCAGAAGAGGACATGGGAAAGTTAATCAATAAAAATGAAAGAGAATGCGAAATTGGGCACAACAACCAACCATGCAATCATCTTAAACCACCAGTACCTGCATGCCAAGAAAAAAACAATCGGCCCTGTGCACATTTTCTTTTTTTGGGGGGCTGGCGACGGCAGCCATTTTGGGGTCCGGCAGCACTGTTCATCCAAAAATTGCTGTGATGGTATATACCAAGTAGCCGGAAACCTTTGCCTGTGAAAGGTACTGGTAGTTTAAACGACAAACAGTTAAAAGGCGACCACATGCAGGTCCCAATCTCTCTCCCTCCCAGATACAAAAAAGGTCCACCACTGACAGCGAGGCGACCGAGCAACAACAAATTAAAAAGTGGAGACTGCAACGACTACAAAAAAACAAGACGAAAAAAAAAAAACACCAACAACACAAATCAGAAAACGAAGCAGGCATCCTCCAGGACCTCCGTTAAAATTGGAACGATACAGAGAAGAAGATTAGCATGGCCCCTGCACAAGTTTTTTTTTTAATTATGAAAAAATAGCAGGAAAAAAAAAATCAAGAATCAAACAGCCCGGTTCCTGAATGGTACTTGCCCGGTCCGTGTGGCTGAATGATACAAAGTATTACAAACCTATTACACCCATGAACTGTTAATAAGCAGACCAGAGTTCGAATATCCACTGGGATCAAATGAACGAAATAAGGGTGAATTACCTGGGACTGGTAAATTTGGTGAAGATACCTTACACTGTCGCCTTTTGATAGGGGGGGGGGGGGGGGGGGGGAGGAGGGAAATGCTACTTGCCTAATTCACCTGCACATAACAATACTAAAGTTGGTCCCCTTATTAAAATAGACAAAAAAATGATCCGTACTTACTAATTCTTATTAAAAAAAATAAAAACAGTAATACTGGTGCTTTAACATTGGAATAAATAAATAGATAAATGAAGGGGGTGATTTGTGCACATGCTGCCAAGATTTAAGGAGAACCTCCCAAAATCTGGATTCTGGATTGCCTCCTCTAGGTCAGGCTTTAAGGTGCCCTATGGCTGCTGAATTGGCGGGTGTCTCTACAACTGTATTACATCATCATTAGATCCATTACTGTTTTTTTTTTTTATAATAATAATTAGTATTACGGATCTTTTTTTTGTCTATTTTTATAAGGGGACCAACTTTAGTATTGTTATGTGGGGGGGGGGGGAAATGCTGCTTGACTAATTCACCTGCACATAACAATACTAAAGGTCCCGTTATAAAAATAGACAAAAAAAAAAAAAAAAACAGTAATGGATCTAATGATGATGTAATACAGTTGTAGAGACACCCGCCAATTCAGCAGCCATAGGGCACCTTAAAGCCTGACCTAGTGGAGGCAATCCAGAATCCAGATTTTGGGAGGTTCTCCTTAAATCTTGGCAGCACGTGCACAAATCACCCCCTTCATTTATCTATTTATTTATTCCAATGTTAAAGCACCGGTACCCTGTACACACTTCATTGGAATCAATCCATCAATCAATTCAATCTATATGCAAAGCTTCTGAAAACAAAATACAGACTTTGATTCACGCGTGCAAAACATAATTTTTTATCGCACTTTTGTAGTGATTTCATAATTGAACGAGTCCGAGTCTATTATGTTCATCATTATGAGAAAGATTGGATTCTCGGTGTGAATGGACCTTATTGTTTGGCCAAACCGATTTGTAACTTGATGGCCTTCCAATGGGTAGATGGTCTATGCAGAGAGTATGCTAGGTTGTCATCACCGTCATATGACTAAGCAATCAGCAATTACAATGCTCAGGTACCTTAAAGCTGGACCCGCTTTCCAGCAGGTGGTGGTCCCCACCAATAAAATAGATGGAGCCTTCCCGAGAGTGCTCGTGGTGCCTGCTCTTATCAGCACCCCTAGCACTCACTCGGGTTGTTAAAGAAGAAAAAAAGACAACAAAGATTTAAAAAAAAAAAAAAAAAAAACAGATGGTCTTCCCGAAAAGCACTCAAGGAAAACAGGTGGCCGCATTTTGAAATGAGGGGGTGGGGTAAAAAGGGGAGTCAAAGTAGCAAGGGAAGGGGGGGGAAGGTGAAGTAGGCGGATGACGGCGGAGTTCCAGGGGGTGCCACAAGGGGGGAGGCAAAGAGATTTTGCAAAGTAAAGGAGGGAGATGAAAGGGAAGGCAAATAATACAGATCCAGGATGAAGGAAGAAAAAGGAGGGAGCAGAGGAGAAAGGGAGGAGGGGAGGGAGCATTGGAATTGCAAAATAGGCAATGTCGAAAAAATAGAGTACTTGAGGAGAAGCTGCATATCTGGTCCTGGATAGCGCAATTCCAGTCCCATATTACCGCTTGAAAAAGTGAAAGCACTAAGGCAGTCGATCAAGACCGAGAGGCTCACGCCAAACCGGGGGCGCCTCTGTCGCCCTCGACGAAAATGGTACTCCTTAAACAACTGTCAATCGCAGCCTGCACATACCACCCTCGTTCCCCAGCCCCAATACTCTCCAGGCACTTCCTTACTTCTCTTTCCAACCCCCCTTTCTCCCCTTCCCCCGACCCCGCCACTCAAATCAATCAACCAAAGCCCGTGGACCCCTTCCTCCCCTTCCCCCGCCTCCGCCACGCAAACCGATAAACAAAAGCCCTTGGACCCCTTTCCCCCCTTCCCCCGCCACCAAAATCAATCAACCAAAGCCCTTGGGCCCCTTCCTTCCCTTCCCCCGCCTCCGCCACCCAAATCCACAAACAAAAGCCCTTGGACCCCTTCCCCCCCTTCCCCCGCCACCCAAATCGATCAACCAAAGCCCTCGCACTCCTTTCTCCCCTTCCCCTGCCCCCCAAATCGATCAACCGAAGCCCTCGCACCGTCCCTCTATCATTTTCCACCCATTTCCCACCCACACCCCCAGTCACATCCACACCTATCCACCCACCCACCCACCCACCCACCCACCCACCCA